GGACAGCTTTGCACGATGTTTTTTGCGTGGCGTTGGTGCACTGGGCAGCAACGAGCAGGACGGGGCGGGAAGGGATGCTCCCTGTGCTGAGGGTGCCACAGCTGCGGGTGTCACTCCAAGCGTCTTCATCCCAAATATATCCGCCCCGTGGCATGCCTAAAAATCTCCGGGGAATGCTTTCCCCTCTCTGTGGCCATGCTGCGGGGAAGGAGCTCACCAGTGGGAGTGTGCCGGTCCGACAGCTGCAGCCAGGTCCTGAAATGAGGGATGCTGCTGCCAGCTCTCGGCACACCTGGTGCCCTGTCCTGCTCCTGCCCCCGCTGCAGGGCTGCTCTCACAGCTGTGAATACACTGACTGTGGGTCTGCAGGTTATTTACCCATTATCTTACAGAAAACAGCTTGATCCATTTTCTTACTAACTCATTATCTACTTACTTATCTTCAGGTTGCCAGGTCCCTTCTGGATACCCCTTTAGCATGTCTCCAAGCTCGCCCTGCAACCTTGTAGACGAAGAAATCAAATTTTTCTTTTAATTTACAAAGCAAAAGGAAAGCCTTGTATTTTTTTTTTTTTATTCCTTCTGAAAGCAAGGGATTTGGGGTAGATGACAGGAAAAATAGTAATACTTGCAGCAAAAGGGAAAGCTGGCAATCCTGCGCACCCCAGCCGGTAACTGTAGTGTAACACCATCCGCACCCAGGCGCTGGTGAGGAATAAATGGCAGATCAAATTCCAGTCTCAGTTGCAGGGGTAGAAAAACCAAAGGCATTGCTTAGGATTTACAGGGGTGTAAGCATTCGGATTCCGTCAAACCATAAATCAGTCCTCAATTGCTTCCCACCAGCGGCCCAGCCCCATCCCCGTCCTGCCCGCAGGCGTTCCTCCCCAAGTGGTCCCCACGCTGCTCGGCCTCCTGCTGCAGCATCCTTTAAAGCCAAACTGTTTCCATGGCGATGAGAAAACAGTTTTTGTTGCAGTTCACATCAGGTAGGGAAATAAATATTTAGAACTAAGCAAAGCTGTACTTTTCAGGGCAGGCTGCCTGTCTCCCTGCCTGCAGCCTGTGGTGATGGGATGGCTTGAAAAAGCCTGCCCTGTTCCAGTTGCTATATTCTATCAGCACAATAATCACCATTTTTAACATTTTTTTTTTAGTACTTAAAGCTAGTCTTTTAAGACATTAAGATGCTGGTATACAAGGTAAACCAAGGGAGAGAAGGGATGGAAGAGAAGTGGAGTGGGTGCAGGCTGTTTCTTCTTCCCCTGTCCCCCTATATCTGGTGGTGTTTGGGTACACACTGAGCATCTTGGTGAGCTAAGGACACTGTCCAGCCACAGGCATTGCTTCTTCCCTCCATCTCAAAGCACAGGCGAGTCCCTGAGAGCTGCCATTCCCAGGGAGCCCTCGCTGCCAGTGATTTTTGGCACCAGGAAAGATCCCAGAGAAGACTAAAGCCAGCTGGGAAAAGGGAGCATGACTTGGGAATGCCTCAGGGAGTCACCAGGCTCTCCTCGGTTATGAAAAGCAGGACTAGCCTGAGCGCTCTGACCAGGATTTTTTATGCACATATAGCTGGACCTTTCAATAAGCAAGGAGAGATTTCATATACCTTGCCATGGTGCAGAGGCGCCCGCTGGAAAGGCTTTTGTCACGTCCTCTAATTCCAGATATCATCTTAACTGACTCCTCCGTTGCCAGTCAGGTTTTGCAGCCTGCCTTTTGGCTGTTACCAGTAGCACATGGCACTTCGCTTTGGGCTGCACTGGCTTACGAATAGCCTCTGGCAAACAGCATTAAAACCACCAGCTCCTTGCTCCTTCCGTCACCTCTTTCTCCCAGGCAGGTTGGGAAGCTGGGGACAACCATCCTTAGATGTCTCATCCTTAGATCCCCTGGCCCCTGGCTGCTCTGCAAAACCTTGGGGCAGTGCCACGGTGTAGCTCCATGGCCCGGAGGCTTGCTTACCTCTTTATTTACCTAAACCAGACAGCCATCCTGGAGCTTGTTGGAAGCCCAGCCAGGGATCTGCCCAGGGGTTACCTGCACTCTGCCCTCCCCTCCCCCTTTTAGTAATGGCTGTAAGACCCCGCTCAGCAGTTCTTAGAGGGCAGAGAGCCCCTGGTTTGTGGGGCGAGGGAGGAGAGGATGCAGGGCATGGGTATTTCTCTGCACACCCCCACCTCAGGTCTGATTCAGAGCCGGTAGCATTCACATCTCTTAGGTTTTCTCAGGTCTTCCTGAAAGCCAGAAGTTTGTCTCTACCTTCTGTCCAAAGAGCTTTTTAACTCTGCAACTGAGGATTACACCTGTCTGGACACCAGAAATAATGTGACCATTCCTGCAGCTTTGGGAGCTCGAGCTGGCTGTGCCAGGCTGACTGTGGCAGGAGGACCTTGGTCTCTAAGGCTGGGCTGTGGGGTTGGAGGTGGGTGGCAAAGGGAGAGCAGAGCTCTGGGCAGGAAAATAACTGCCCCCCCTCCGAGATGTTGCACCACCAGCATGGGCTGAATTCCCTGGTGGGATCATGCTGGTGTGGTGCCAACATAATAATGTGTCTCTGCTTGCGGGAAAGAGAGAGAGAAAGAGAACCAGATGCTGCTTTGGAGATGCAACGGGATGAACATTCACTGCGTCTGTGACAGGGAAGAGCGTGTTCAGCCTCGGGCATCAACACTGCTGTTCTCGATCCCTCTGACAAGGCATCGCAAGCAGCAGCCTGGGTCTGACTGGTCTGGTTTATCCATACCCCAGCAAAAGGATCAGTCCCTTTGGTATCCCTCTGCAGTAGCTGGTGGTGCACAGGCAGTGAAAAGGTCCTCGGTGCCATGTGTCTTGGTGATCTGTGTGTGAGGACAGAAGGATGTAGTCTTACAGGAGGTGCTTTCCCAACACTGTGAGATTCAGCAGCTCAGGACCCGTGTGGCTGGCAGGGATTGACTCGGCCGGTGGCCGGCAGCTCATGTCTATGGATAGCCAAGGGTATTTATGAGACAAAGTACAAGAAATGAAAGTATTTGGCCACAGAGTTTGACTTTGCTTTTAGTTGGCTGGTCATAAGCAAAGAAAATGATCTCTCAAAGAGCAAGCCAGACTTGCTTTCCCTTGTCCAAGAGCTCAGCAGCCCTCGTTGCCACCTCTACACTTTTAGCTGTTGCTGATGTTTTCCCTCCAGGCTCCTCCTACTTGCTTCCCACTGGGCTTTGGGGGGTGTATAGCCTCAACAGGCAGCTGTGCCCACCCCGGTCCTGCCAAGGACGCGATCTCACCCAGAGCAGAGTGGCTTTAACGAAGACAGGGGACACGAAAATAAAAGGGACAGAGACTTAGGCGATCTTAAGCCACAGCTGCAGACCTCCTATCAAGATGGAAGGAGCTCCTTCCACACCTGGCCAGACCGCCACAGCCCTACAGCCACCTCCTTGCCCCCCTCAGCTGCTCACGAGGCTGTAGCGGCTCGGCTCCTCTCCTGGGGTCCATCCTCTCCCCAGCTGGTGCGCACGGAGCCGTCTGAGCTCTGAAATACAGATGCTGCCTAAGTGCAAAGTGTAATTACAATTTATCCTTCCATTTGCTGACACCATTTTGCTTTGGTTACTTGCACATCTTCACGTATAATGATAGGAGCAGCTATTTATCAGCACAAAAGTGCGGTGTGAGCTGGGGAAGGGCTAAGCCAGCTGCTGTACAGCCCTTCAGTTTTAAAAATAGCTTTTACTCACTGCTGTTAACTCTTTCCCTCTGGTTCCTGAAGCTGCTTCAGCTCCTGAGATCTCCTTAGGATTCTGATGAACGGGAAATGGTAATTTTGCACATTGGGATGCTGAGCAGAAGCTGCTTGTAGTAGCTCCAGGCGCTCAGTTAATCAAATCACCGGACTCCGCAGGGGCTCCCTGCGGCGCTGCCGTGTGCCAATGGGCACAGCAAGGCAACCGCCTCCAGCCCGAAAGCCCAGATGATGAGATGCAGAGGCGCTGCGTTGAGTAGCTGTGAAGCTGCTTATAAAAGATTTCTTCCCTCAGGAGGGTTTTTAATTGAATAGTTGGGGTTTTGGTTAGCTTTACTTCTCTAGGATTAGACGTAATCGGGATGGGGAAAAAAAAATCTAGATACATATTTTTATAGGCCTAGCCAGTTTTAAAGCAGGTAGGATTCAAAATCCGTAGCAATACCTTTCCTTCCAGAGGACAGCTGGTTGGGGCAGCACAGGGGCTGTCCTCTTCCTGCAGTGCCTCTTGCTCAGGGCTGCTGCTTGTTTTAGAAATATTTGAAAAAAATTAAAAAAACAGCTCAAATAATGGACTTGCTGGCCATTTGAGAGGTGGGCTGGGTTGTGGTCCTGCAGATCTGTAAAGCAGGGTACTGCAGAGAGCTGAACTTCAAAAGCACGTTGTTGGTTCATATGCAAAATCCCCCCCCATTTTTAGGCAATTAAAAGGAGAATTTTAAGTAGATTGAATGTACTTATTTCTGTCTCCTTTTGGCTGAACCTGCACAAACTAAAGGAGGGTGCCCGGAAGGCTGGCAGCCAGGTGAGCTGCTCTCTGGCTCAGGATGGGTTTCCTGAAGATCTTCGCGTAAAGGTGCCAGAGGCACACGTGGGTCTGAGCAGTATTTTCTAATAGCACCAGTCTGGCTGTGAAATCCTGCAAAAGTTAACAGAAACCAAAAACCCCTTGCTTCTAGTTATTTCTGTTTTCGTTTCTGTAAATGAAAACTCCTTGTGCTTTTGACTGTGGGTGAGCACTTACAAGTGTGATCAAAGTGGCAAAACCTGATGGGACTTAAAAAACCCCACCCATATATTGCTATACCTGTCTACCTACAGACTCCAAAAATACTTGAAAAAGTCAGTAACAAGCTCAAATACAATCTCAAATACCCACATCTATAATAGAAAGTATATAGTATTTTATATTATTTGGGGTGGGGGGAGGTGGCATGCTTGTGTCCGGGTGCTGGTCCCTGGTGCCACCCCAGTGCCCGTGTCTGTGTTGCAGCACCTACGGGGAGCTGACAAACTGCACGGCGCTGATCGCCGAGAAGCTCGACTGCTACTGGCCTAACCGACTGGTGGATGAGTTCTTCGTGGCCGTGCACAAGCAGTACTTCAGGAACTGCTCTCCCTCTGGCCGGGCGCTGCACGACCCCCCCAACAGCGTCCTCTGCCCCTTCATCCTGCTGCCCGTCCTCGTCACCCTGCTGATGACCGCGCTGGTGGTGTGGAGGAGCAAACGCAGCGAGGGCATCGTGTAGGGACGCCCTGCCACCGGCACAGGGGAGGGACAGGGGGGAGCCCACCCTGCAACGTGCCTGTTTTTTTTTTAAGAAGACCCTGGCAGAGGCACATCATGGAGGGTACCAAGCCCCAGAGGCAAAGGCAGTAACGCCACCGCTCTTCCCTCACGGGTACCCTCCGCAGCGCACCTGTGCCGCTTGCCCGTCGGTTTCCAGATAAATACATGATTTAAGACACGGTTGTTTGGCGATATGGGATGCCAGCGGCCTGTCACGGGCTGCCCCGGCGGCGGGGAGCTCTCTCAGGGTACTGGGGAGCACAGCTCACCCTGAGCACCAGCACCGCCACAGCTCTGCTCAGCCTTTCCCAGTTGCTTCCCTCCCAGCACCCTCCAGCATCACGTGCCAAAAGAAGATAATTTTTAAAGAAAAAACAAACACCTACCCACCCACACCACCCCCCCCCAAAAAAAAAAAAAACCAAAAA